CGGTAGTGATGTTGGCATAGATATTATAACGCCACCGCCCACGGTACCCACACCAGTACTGGTAGAGAATTGGCCCACTGAAAGCCACTCCTTTGGTCAGGTCACCGCCGTATCTATAGATCCACATGGTAATCCGGTCATTTTTCATCGCGCCGATAGATATTGGGATGCGAAGTAGGTCAACAGCTGTTACAAATCAGCTGTATGTTAGTGTTTGTGTGTGTGTTGAATTGAAGTAGGCGCAAGGATAGTAGTTCTAACGTTGATATACTTATATATTTTTTTTTTGCTTTGTTTTTGTAGCACCTTTAATGACAGCAACATTTTCTATTTGATTGAATATGGACCGATTAAGGAGAAGACTATTTACATTTTAGATCCCAAGACAGGTGCTATTAAGTCTGGTTGGGGTGAAGATATGTTTTACATGCCACATGGCATGACCATTGATGTGCATGGGAATTATTGGATTACGGATGTAGCAATGCACCAGGCATTTAAGGTGAGTGGAAGATAACATCAAAGTAGAGAAGAAGACGAAAAAGCAAAGAATTTAAGAATTAAATGAAACAATACTAAGCAAAAAAATAAAATAAAACAAAAAAATTTAAGAAAATAAAACAGTCAGAGTAAAACAAAAAACCTAGAAATCAAAAAAATAAGATAAAATGAAAAAAAAATTTAAAAATCAAAACAAAATAAAATTAAAAAGATTAAAATAAAGTATAGTAAAATTTAAAAACAATAATAATTAAATTAAATATGTAAAATAAATTTAGTCCGCCTACATTAAAAAAAAAAACAAAATAAATATAAAATATATTAAATAAAATGAAAAAAATCTAATAAAATTATTTTAAATAAAGTAAAAGTAAAAATAAATAGATAAAATAGAAAAGAATAAAATATATGAAATCAAATACAATAAAATAAAATAAGGTTACATTAAATAATATAAAACAAAATCCAATAAAATAATTTAAAGTAAAATATGTTAAATTAAAAAAAGTCATAAGAAAATTAAATTAAGCTAACTAAAATTATTTAAAAAAAATATAAATTGAGGAAAAATGAAGCAACATTTTAAATAAAAGAAAATAAAATAAAATAAAACAAAATAAAATAAAGGAAAATAAAATAAAATTAAATTAAATTAAATTAAATTAAGTTAAATAAAAATAAAATAAAATAAAATAAAATAAAATAAAATAAAATTAAATTAAATTAAATTAAATTAAATTAAATTAAATTAAATTAAATAAAATAACATACAGCAAACTGAAATAAACCAATTAAAAATAGCATAAAAAATCCGATAAAAATTAAATTAAACTAACAAAATTATATTAAAAAGATATAAAATAAAACAGGTTAATATAAAATAAATAAAAGAGTAAAGAGAAAATCAAATAATTTTAAATAAAGCAAAATAAAATAAAATATAATTAAACTAACTAAATTATATAAAATATATAAAATAAAATAAAATAAAATAGACTAAGTAAAAGTAAAATAAAATTGAAAATAAAGGAATATACATACATACAGGGGAAGCAAAAAACAGTATAAAGAGAATGTCAAAAACAGGTAGGGCTATCTAAAAAGCTGTTTTTGGTACTAACACTTTAAAATTTGTATTGAAGGTGTATATTAATAGTTGCGATCCCGTACGAGTCCGCACTTGTCAGAATTAGTCATATTTTACTCTCTTTTTTACTCTCTATCAGAAGTTACCAGTTTTAGTCCGAAGATTTTTTGCTGGTATATTCTGGTAAATGTGTCAAACGATCAGCTGTAGTGTGTTTGGCAACCAAATTTTAAACAAAAGAAAAGTGCACTCTGCTAATTCATGTTGAAAACTATTTAATTACTTGCTTAAGTAGATTCTAATGAATTTGAAAGTATTTTTGTTGTTTGCATGTGTGTTTACATTCAAAATAAGCAAAAATTTACCACCAAAATTTGGAGTTGAGTTAAGGTTATGTATGTAAAACCAAAAGAAGAAAAATAAAAAAAAATAAATAAGAATAGAATAAAAAAATTAAATTGAGTAAAATTAAATACATACATGGAACAAAATAACATAAAATAAGAAAAAACTAAACGAGATGAACCCAAATGAAATAAAGCAATTTAAAATAAAATTAGATAAAAATTTAACAAAATAAATAAATTTAAAAAATAAATAGAACAAATAAAAACAAAATATATAAATATAAATATTTTATGAAACTAAATGAAAATAAGATTAAATTAAATTAAAATAAAATTAAAGTTAAATAAAATAATAAACAAAAAATAAATAAAATCAAAAAAAAGATATAAAAGAAAGTAGAATTTAAAAAACAATTAAAAATTTGGGCGGACAAAATATTTTAAGTAAAAAATCGAAAAATGATACTGAAGATGGCGCAACGCCAAACCGTTTGTCTTCAAATCAATCATGACAAGGGATTACTAAAATTCGTTCCAAAAAAAATCAAAAAAAATGTTTTCTTAGAAGTATAAACAAAAGATAGTGAGGCCTAACACAAAATCCATCGTAATCCGACTTTTCGTGAAATCTACGAAATCACTGAATCCGAATTGCTACGAACGTGTAAATACAAAGCATACGCTACGTTCGTGGCTATTCGGAATCAGTGAAAGCATTGTCGTAGACTTCATGGAAAATTGGACTACGATGGATTCTGTGATTGAGTAAATAAAAACCATTAATTAGAAATTTAATTTGAGTAACTTACTTTGAATATTAAACTGTAAACAACTTTAATTGGTCCATTTTCAGTTCAAACCATTTGAAACTCAACCGCTGCTTACCGTCGGAAAGCGATTCAAACCTGGCTCAAGCATTAACCATCTCTGCAAGCCCACCTCTATTGCGGTCGCCACTACCGGCGAGGTATTTTAGCTAGTTAATTGATAATAAAAATCCAATCCCTTAAAACAGTGTCGGCCACACAACTGCATACTAAAAAATCTGCATAAGTGTGCCATATCAAGCGTGTGAGGAACGAAAGCATAACATCGTTAACGTTGGTGTGACAACACGTAGCCAAAAGCGCATAATAAGCACGTTTTGGCCGGCACTGCTTTAAAAATAAAAACAAACACAAAAATCACTCATACGCCCCCACGAATTTCAGTTTTTCATTGCCGACGGTTACTGCAATAGCCGCATTTTGAAATTCAACGCTGCTGGACGGATTTTGCGCACCATACCTCAGCCACCAGGTATAAAAAGCAGAATCCCAATCATATATTTAAAACAAAATAATAGCGATTGAAAAATTATTAAATATCACTATTTCTCAATAAAAATTTTCAGAATTCCTCTCCTTACAAGTGCCACATGGCATCACGCTATTGGAACATTTGGATCTCCTCTGCATTGCTGATCGTGAGAATATGCGTGTCGTTTGCCCAAAGTGCGTTTATTGAAAATTGTTCAGTGATGAGGACAGTGCTTGTAATTTTCATGTATGTATGTATGTATTTTTTTCCTTCTTTTTTCTTTCAAATAGAGCCGGATTAAAATCGTCACAGGGCGAGGGCCAACCCGCCGCTACAATACAGGAGCCCGATTTGGGGCGGGTCTTTGACGTGGCCGCTTACGGTAATATTGTTTATGCAGTTAATGGACCTACATCAATGTTGCCCGTACGTGGTTTCACCATTGATCCACGCTCTGAAACTATTATTGGGCATTGGGGTGAATTTAAGAACCCACATTCGATTGCTGTATGCGTAAATGGTTCAGCATTGTATATAACCGAAATTGGTACAAATCATCAGACAAATAAAGTATGGAAATATGTGTTGGTTTAAATGTACTGAAGAAAGTGAATAAAGCCGAAGTGTAATAAAAAATAAACCCAAAGTAAATACCTACCTAAGTGTTTAAAACCCATACAAAGCAACAATAATCCAGTGCACACGACGTTCATTTCCGCAAAAGCCATAAACATATACATATATGTATGAAGTAGGCATTGTTGTAAATAAAACAATACGTATGTATTGAATGTAAGCATTATACTTGTAACTTAAATAACTTATCGAAAATGACACGTACGATTTGCACCTTTAAAACAAAAAGATAATACGAAATTATTAACACAAAATATTCACTAAACGTTTTTACCTCGGAAGCAGCACACCAAGCATTTGTGTGAATTTGATTGCAACAACAAAAACAACTCAAGTCATATCTCGTAATCAAATCACTATAACCAAAAAGGTAAATAATGTGTAATAAAAACTCACTTCGTTGCGTAGAAATTTCACCATGAACTTCCATTATCTATATTTGAAAGCATCTGCAAAAATATACAACCACAACCAAAAAATAGAACCACTATAACTAAAACTATAGTAACAATTTCTTGAATATACATAAGTACATACATATAACATAAAAATAATTTAAACTAACATTTTAAAGAATTATCAAAGTACGAAAATCTATGTACATATACGTAGTATAAAAATAAGTGTGGAATCAATAGAATGGAGCGCGGCAAATTACTGAAAGTAAATATTTGCATATAAATAAATATCAATGCACCACCTAAAAGTAAACGTAGTAATTGATGCAATTCTGTTCAAGACACTATATTATACATAAATATAATTGGCCAGCCCAGTATTACCTGTACTAACCAGAAATCGTATGTGATTTATGCTCCATCGTGGTAACGAAATTTCCCTAATTGTGTACCTCCCGTTTTGTCTTTATATTGCTCTTGACATTTTTTTTTTTTTTTAACAATCACACAAAACTATGTAGTTCTATTTGTTTTTAACTAGAAAACTGTACCTAGAGTAATCATCTTAGCAAGATACATACATACATATATCAAATATAAAAAAGTAAATAAAATTGTCATCTACCCCACTGAATGGAGCTGATTTTTTACTTTTATCTCTACTTGGGGAAAAAAGGTCGACTATTGAAATCTTAGGTTTTGGATTACACCACAGCACAGAATTTTTTCGCTATTTAAAAAATTATACAGTTATTTCAACGCTTCAAATTATGCTGACAAGTTTCTACGAGGTTTTCTATAAACAAAGCAAGTACAAGCAAAGATTAATGTATCGGCTGACAACGACTTATTTTTATAAGTAAATATTAATTTATTAAAAACATATATCTATCCTAAATGTGTAAGTATCATAAGCACTTACATACATACATATATATAAACCGACCAAATTTGTATAAAACTATGTATTAGTAGGAATTACAAAAAAATAAATACAGCTATCAAATACAAGGCATATGACATTCCATAAGAAAATTTGTGCGAGAGAAGAAAGAAAAGTCCCACACTAACATTCTTCATCGCCGCTCTTAGCATGCAACCACTTTTCAATAAATTCTAGCACTGCATTTAGCTGCTTCAACCACACCTCCAGTTCCTCCTGTGTATCTGCTGCAAAAAATACTGCCGCTGTATCCACTTCCTCTCCGCCCTTTTGTAGCGAGCACTGCAAACAAAAAGCGCGTGCACGTGCACACAATTCCCGCGGGGCCATTTGCAGTGGCGTTGACTGCACATTCGAGCGCATATCCAAAGATAGTAGCAATTTGTCATCCATTTGATTTTCATCTGTCCACACGTGTACGAAGATACCATCCAATGTACACCAACGTCGATTCCAATTGTGAAGCGTATGAGGATCTTGCACATTTAGAAAACCGCTATGCGTATGTTTAGGCAGGCGAACTTCCGTGCGGCCACTTATTTGAATTGCAGCACTGAGATTTGTAGATTGTGTACACGGTGTTAGTGGTAATTGACAATTTTTGGCGCTGGCTCGCAAGCAAAGTTTATCTGTGTTCTTGGATTCACATTCTACGTACTCGTACGGCACAAAATTGCGGGCATGAAGTAAAAAGCTGGCATGTAGGCGAAAACGTGAAACGATTTCATCGCCCGAAGATGATGTCGATGAGCCGCCAGGTGTGCGTATAGCAGGTATTTTCTAGAAGAAAGAGATTTTCATTTGTGAAATTATTTGTGACTTAAGTTGACAACTCACAACTATGGGCCGCTTGGGTTCCAGCGATAGTGTAGATACTTTGCGCAACCGCAACATAAATATTTTACAGCGCACCTCGCTATCCTCCTTCCCCAAACCGCCTACAAATTCAATGCCGCAATCACTAAATATTGCCTGTCCGTTGTGGCACTCCGCCGATTGTGTGGACTTTATTACACCACCACACTCGAAAGTCACTATATAGAAATAGTTGAAGAAGAAATCTTGATTAACATCGACTTTTATGGGCAAACGCATGCTATCCACATAAAAACGATGTGTGTGTTGTCCGGAAGCACGTGCTGAAATCAGCCGACCATGCTGGGGCCACACGTCACCACGTAGGCGCGAAAAAAGCAGTAAACGTTCAGCTTCCACCATTTCAGGTGAAATTTCTACTTCCGGTAGTTGTCGACAAATAGTTACCGCTTGCGCTAATTGCTGCGTTACTGGCGCTTTTTCGTCCAATGCGAACAATGCATCCAAATCGTATGTGGACGTGGCAGCATGCAGGTTTGGGTCGGTTTGATTGTGCGTATTTATGCTCTTCGACAAGCTTATATGTGACGAGGGAAAGCTAAAAGAACTGGATAGACGACGTGTCTCGTTTTTAACGAAGTTCGTGCTGCGCTTAAATGAGTTGCGCAAAACATTTTTTAAACGCTTATAAGAGGGAATGTTTAAATTGCTGGAAGGTGTTTTAATGCAACTGTGGCCGATTGTAGAACGTTGAACTTGACCATTAAAACTGCCGCTAGGTGTTGAATGTTGCTCTTGTTGGAATTGGTCTCCAGTGTCGGCTTGGTGTACTTCATTGAGACTGGAGGTGTGTGGTAGCTCTGTTGGGTAATCTGATTGAGCTTTTCGTGGTGTAGCAGGGCAACTGGTACTTGGCTGATGGCAAGATGAAGGCGATGAGAAGATATCGGTCGATGGATTGAGATTAGACAATCGTTGTTTGCTTAGGTGTGACTGAAATTCGTAGAACGGAAATGAGAATATTTTAAATGTAAACAGATATTACTGTTCTTTAACCCTTAAGGTCAGGATATGCTGTGTTAACGGTCGTGACAGGCGGAATAAAAAATAAATAATAATTTATTGTATAAGTATATTTATATAAAGTAAAGAAAGAAAAATAAAGCAACGTTAAGGGTTATAGAATAGCATAGAAATTGAGAGGGTTACGATTTGAAAAATCTTACTTGCAATGCGCCAAAACCCAAAATAAAAAATACATGAAATATGTTTTTGTGACTCTTTTTTAAATAGTATGATGCGGCAATGATATGATTGTTAACAATATGCGTTTAACGCGAGATGAGTGAGTAAAAAAGCATTAGTAACAAAGAATTCATATTTACATTGATTTGAGAAAAAAAAAACATTTTATGCCTAAAGTTTAAGCTTGTCTAATATGAGTCAAAGAAAATTTCTACCTTAGTTACAAATTTGGGTGCATTCTGCTTTTTCGGTGTGTTTGGAGCACCAGATGTCATCGATTCGTTAGCCAAACTTAAGCCTGATTGGCTAATATCTGCCTGGGAAATGTTATCAAAGTCTGCGTCATTTGGCGTATCATAGGATATTGAATCGTTTGGAGTAGGCGTGGATGTAGAGAAGTGCCGATAAGTATTTATTTGGCCCATAGAATCGGTACGTAGGGAACCGTAGGATTTGTTTAAATCATTCTAGGGAAAACATTCAAATAAAATAATAAAAAAAAATAATACAGAAGGAAATAAAGAAATTATTTTCTATAATTAGTAAGTTGCTAAATAAACAAAACCTTATGAGATTATTTAAATACTGTACTCACATTATTCATTTTCTCAACCCGCTCCAGTTCACCATTTTCCGGTACGAGCTCACTTCGACACAGGTTGTCTAAAAATATCTCACTACGATGCAGCGACAGATCGGATTTATTTAGGTTACGATCTCGCTTTGGCGGAGAATGCTGCTCCTGCATGCGCACATTATTCAGTGAACGGCAATGTGATAGTGTTGTTGAAGTGGCTGTCGCACACACATGCGCTTGCGGAGGCGACATGTATGATGTATCACTGCCAGATTGCTCCTGCAGCGTTGGCAGTTGTACTGTAAACGGGGATATATCTGAATTTTTCAGCGAGTCATGTAATAGCTTTCCTAATGGCATTGGAGTTGTATGCATAGCTTGTGGCTTCAGCTTTTTATTGGCCTTATTGACTTTGGCATACAACACTTCCACATCCGGTCTGCTTGTTACTATTTCCTTAGCGCTTGTTTTATTGTCATAATGTGGCGTTCCCGTGATATGTATGCTCTCTTCTTCAATTTCAGAGTAAATAGGTTCCTGTTGATTGGCGCTCTGTTCACTTCTTTCCACGCCCACACGCATTTGCCGACGTAGAATATGCCCATCGGTGCAATCGAAACCGGCGGCGCGCTGCTCACGGCGTTCAATTTCCTGGTGAATATTTTCTTATAAGTTATACATCGTTGGCTTAGTTCGCAAACGTGCTAAGTCCACTTTTTATGAAAATTGAGATTTTGATGCAGTAAGATAGCATAACTCAAAATACATCATTACCAAAAAAGAAAGTTACCGTAATGTCGTTTTTACTTGTTTGTTATGCATTGGTATGCAAATGTGCTAAGTCCGAAAAAATCAAGAAAAAATATAAACACGTCTGTCCGTGTACACGATAACTCGAGATATCTCAACGAAATTTGGTATGTAGGTTGCCCTTTTCCAAGGTAAGTTGGTATTAAAAATGGGCGAATCGGACTGTAACCACGCCCATTTCCGATACAAAGGTATTTTCTAAAGATGCAAAAACTACGATATTTCAGTAAATATTGGATGCAAATTGTTCAAAATTAGTATGTGAAGTAGAATTTTTGTAAAAAATATTATTGTGCAATATTGGGAAAATGGGCGTAACCCCGCCCACCTATTATGAAATATATCTCAGTAGCCCATTCACCGATCTCCACCAAACTCGGTACGAGCCTTATTTAGGGTCTAACTAAGAAATCTGTTGAAAATTTTTAATTCACTTAAAATCGATGATCTCGATAACGACTCAGCAGAAAATTAGATTATGATACATTTTTGGATAATGGGCATGGCGCCGCCCACTTATGGCCGCAAAAGTGTAACTCGGTAACCAATTTATAAATTTCTTCCAAACTCGGTGCACTTAGTAAACCTGGTACGGAAAAGGAATTCGTTGAAAATTATTCAAATCGGACCAAAATTACATTCGCTTTCCGTATATCTAACGGTAAATTTCAGAAATGCGAAAACTCTGATATTTTAATAACTGACGACGCCAATTTACTCCAAGTTAATACTTACAACAATCTCTTAACAATAATTAAGACTGCATGACTACAAGGTGTAGCCAATTTAGCGATAGCCAATTTAGCGATTTCTACTAAACGTGGTTCAATTATTTCATTGAGTCTAACTCAGGATATTATGGGAAACGTTTGAAATCGGGGAAAACGCCCCTGCTTACTACAGTATTTGATACCTGCGGCGGGTATATAAAGTTCGGTTTCGCACAAACTTATACCTCTTTACTTACTTTCAATTATTTTCTTTTATAAATGGTACATAAATTTACGACTTAAAATAGTTATTTTTCTAATAGCAATGAAATAAAACTGTATTAGGTTATAATTTATTTTAAAACAAAAAAATTAAATCTTTTAACAATAAAAAATAATGGAAAAAAGG